TTACACCTGTCGTATCCTTACAATAAAGGGCTACCGTGCAGTACAGATACGTCATTTGTATTCATCATATCAAATAACCACAGTAGACCAATTTCCAGGCAAATCCGTGATTTTGGCCTCCGACCATGCACTTACCGTAACCCCACAGTAAGGCTCTACCGAGTGAGGCTGATACGATAAGTGATCAGCATGGTGAGTAAACCCAATGGGCGAAGTTTTAATGAGATCTGAAGTTTTGACATTTTGGTTCAAAAATCAGTGTCTGTGCTGCCTTGAGCGTAACTGTGTGACGTCATCGATCGACACAATTCGAGATTCTTGTCGCTAAGATTCCGAATTCTTGAATTTCGCCAAAAGTTTGTCAAATTGATTATTTGAAATCTGATCACGCGGACATTATTCAGTTTGCACGGTAGTGGCCCATTGTGGGGTTACGGTAGATGTACTGTAGGAAGGTCAAAGTTGCGAATCCTCCTAAAAAGTGGTCTACTGAAGTTATTTGACATGCTAATTGCGAATTACGCATCAATTTTGCACTATAATCTCTGCTGTAATCTTAGTTTAAAGACGAACGTCAATCCGATGACAAGGTAGTATTTTTAAATTTTAAAAAAACGCTGGATATTCTTTAGTTATTTTTCACGTAACAATTCCTAAGCCAAACTTAAAACATGTATATGAGTTCCTCCTTGCATTATGCGCGCAACTTTTGATTGGGGCAAATCGTACCCATTTTTAATTCAAATCTTTTTCTTTTTTTCTGTAAGAGATACATAAAACGTTTGTTATATTTCTGATGGATTACATATGCCGGCACTTTGAGAGTTTCACACCAATTTATTTGATGATCTAAACAATTGATGTCATTATTTTCACTGAAGCACGTGCGATTCTTTTTTAAACGGCCATAATGTCAAAAGAGACGGTGATCTTGGATAATGCTAACAAAATGCCGTTTTTGAGGTCTGTTATCTGAAGTTCGGCTAATGAGTGGTGCAACCAAGCTGTGGATAAAGGTGCAGTACTTGGACTTTTCCGTGCTGCTGTGCAATGTTGAAGTCACGAAGTGCGAAAGACATTGTTGAACGCGCCGAACAGTGCAGAAGTTGCTTGATACTTTATCATAACATATAGTCATTTTTTCTCAGGCTAATCATTAATTCAAACAAAAGGAGCTAAAAAGCTGGAACTTTGGTTTAAGATTCACATGCAGCGTAATCGTTACATGTGGCCTTCCCTAAGTATGAATCAGTCAGCATCTGACAAATAATCTCAGCGAAGTACTTGTCAACCTCAACTGTCATAGAGCCAAAGTGTCAACCTTATTGAGTGACTGCTTCTACAGTAGTGTGAGAATAAATTCAATAGCAGTCAGTTAAAAACAGTTTATGAAAGGATTCATGTTATACAACAAAAGGAAGCTCAACGCTTTAATCTGGAGTTTTATCTAAGGCAACATTACGATATCTTTAACAATGACACACAATTTTCGAAAGATATTCTCCACTGATGGACAAAAGACATGAAGCAGAATGCTAAAGTAGAGCTTGCATATCAGGCAGGAGAGAAATCATGGCTTCAGTGTGAAACCACTTTTTTTTCTCACTTGAACGCATACCATCAAACACTTCCACTTGTAATTTATTGGATTGAAACCTGCCTCAATTAAAAACTACTTTACCCTTTGTGGTAAAAGAAATTTGGCGAAACTAAAAGGAGCTTAATTGCCATCCAAGAGGAAAAACTCCTTCTTTCAAACAAAGACAGAGGAGCTGAACAAATCTTTCATGATTTCAACTTACTAAACTTGAATTAGTTTTTTTAACGGTGATTGAACATTGGCGTTTAGCTATAACTTATTGCGAGACAGTTGCGGTAAGACAGGCCTCATTCCATGTTTGGACCTACAGAGATTTTGAGAGAATTAAGATCACAATTATGCACTGCTTGCTATCACAAATTTATATTACTCGTTGGACAATCATTAGTTGCGATTTGTGCGAAAGGCAATTAGTTTTAACAAAAGTAAAGGATATCTGC